AGTGAGGGTTGAATTTGAGTACTTGGTTGTTGACATTTCTAAGCTGCTTAATCATTACCTATTTCTAACACAGAGACATTCCATATTACTTCTTGTAAATGTTTAACTTTTAAAAGAAACAAAACAAAAAACAATGTAGCAAAATGTTAGATTTTTGTTAATTTCTCTGAAATCACGATTGTAACTTTACTTTTATCAGCATCATTGCTTTAGTCAATTTTTAGCTTTTGAAGAGTACACAATTGTAATTCTAAATCTTCAAAAAAGACAGAAACATAGTTTTTTTTTAATAAGTTCAAAAAACTTGTAACAGATTATTTGGATTGCAGTTAGATGAAGTCCCTTTGTGCAGAAATTAAATATGGGTTGATTTATCCTTTGGCATATAACCTTTATGGCACCTCAAGGTCAATTTACAAAGAAAGAGTACCACACAGAGCAGATTATGTTTCCTTGTAGTGTAATGAAAAGATACAGCCCTGCTGAGATGATGAATCCCAGCAACATGGTCTTCTAACCTTATCCTTCTCATATTGCATGCTGGGATAATTAGTCACAGCAATTTACAACAGCATGAGAACTGAAAACAGTTCAAATATAATGTTGAATATACTTTTATTTTTGTCAACTGTAGCTGTCCTTTAATGCCATCGTTCTCTTTTCTAGGTAGCCAGATAAATGTGAACACATAGACTGAAATTGCCAAATGAAAATTACTAGTAAGGAGAGACACAGGATAATTAGAGATACATTAATTGTATTCTCTCTTTGTTCTCATGATGTTTATTTTCATGACTAAATTACACTCATTTTACATAGTCTATGGAATGTGATGTTATGCTGTTCGTTTTGATTTTTGTGTAGTTTCCCCCATTTCTATGAAGACTTATATGTGCTTAGTGTTATGCTGACATCAGCTACTACAGAGAAATGACTTTGCATATTTTACAGACAAAGTCTGCTGTTTAGTTGGCTGCCATTTTTCCCCTCTGGACTGTGCATGCATGGCAATGGTGCTGCTGCACCTGTGTTTGGCATAACAGTTAAATATGATCAGTCTTTCCTAGCCAAAATTGAACCCATTAGATGGAGAAAGAATGAAATTCTTGCAGCAGAAGAAAGGATTGTAACAATGATAGAATTTGAAAAAAATGGAGAAATTCACTTATTTGGTGAACGGATAAACTACAAAAACATTTTGGAAGGCTGGAAATCTTACATAAACCTTTCGTTAAAAGAAGAAAAAAGTGAATTGTCGATTTATGGCTTTGAAGATTAAGAAAGATACAGAATGAGGGGATGAGGGGATTTGTAAAATATTTAAGGGAGGAGGGACAGCAAAGTCATTATCTGTTTAAAAGAAGGCCAGAAGTTATTTCTATTCTTAACTTTAGCTTTCTTTTTCTTTTCTTGCACTCTGTTGTTTTTCTTGTTCTTTTTTCTTTTGATTAATCTTTTATTATATGGAAATAGATATAAATAAAACAAAGTTAAAAAATGGAATCCGCTAGGAGGATTTTTGTGGTTGTGGAAGAGTAATGAAAGTTTCTCTTCTATCAATCTAAGTGCTGAAATATCTTTTCCCCTATGTCTAGAGCATAGATGAGGCTATGAGAGATATGCAAAAGAAATTGAACATCATAAATTGAGTATGGAACAACATATTTCTAGAACAAAAATAGATTAAACATTATCACTACAGAAATTATTAGCTTTACCAGTGGAACTGAAAAGTTTCCAGAACAGGAAACACAATCATATGAGCTAATTCTACTTTATGATAAAAGGTAAAGGTTCCCCTCGCTCATACGTGCTAGTCGTTTTTGGCTCTGGGGCGGTGCTGTTACAAAGCCGAAGACCCAGCACTGTCCGAAGACATCTCTGTGGTCATGTGGCCAGCATGACTAAATGTTGAAGGCACATGGAACACTGTTACCTTCCTGCCACATTTTATGACCTTTCCTGCCACAGTTGTTAAGTGAACCATTACAGTTGTTAAATTAGTAACACGGTTGTTAAGTGAATCTGGCTCCCCCGACTTTACTTCAGAAGGTCACAAAAGGCGATCACACAATCCCAGAATATTACAACTGTCATAAATATGAACCAGTTTTGCCAAGTGCTGTTTTTAATCATGAGACCCATGGGATGCTGCAACGGTACTGTGTTTCTCACAAAATAAGGCCAGGCCTTATTTTTTTTTTGAGCCCCGAAAAAACAGCTAGGACGTCTTTTCAGAGGTGAATTAATTTCCCCCTCCGCGCACCAGCGCCATCTCCAACAGCATCTGAGTTGCTCCCGCTTTCTCCCCATCCCCTAACAACAGGAAAAAAAATTTTTGAGGTACCTGGGAACGCCGTGCGCTGCATTTTGGTTTAATCCTGAGTGGCTGGGTGGGCGTGAGAAGAGCCAAGCAAGCATCTCTGCTGCTACTACCTTTGGTGCTCCAGCCTCGGGTTCTGCAAGTTTGCAAAAGTCCCGGTGCACAGCCTGTTCCTGCATTCCAAATGCCCAGGTCGAGCTGCAGCTGTCCCTCTCTCGCCAGCGCCATCTCGAACAACAGCGGCAGCAGTGGAAGTTACGGAGGTGGCTCCCCCACCCAAGAAGTGGCTGAAACGCATCCATGGTTCCCACCGCTGCTGCCACTGTTGTTGGAGATGGCGCTGGCGAGAGAGGGACAGCTGCAGCTAGGCTTGGGCACTTGGAATGCAGGAATGGGCTGCGCACTGGGAGTTTTGCAAACTTGAGGCTGGAGCACCAAGGGTAGCAGCAGCAGAGACACTCGCTTGGCTCTTCTCACGCCCACCCAGCCACTCAGGATTAAACCAAAACGCAGCAAGCGGCGCTCCCAGGTACCTCAAAATGTTATCTTTTTCTGTTGTTATGGGGACGGGGGAAAAGCGGGAGAGACTCAGACGCTGTTGTTGGAGACAGCGCTGGCAAGGTGCCAGCACCAGTGGGAACCATGGAAGCTACGGAGGCCTGAGAAGCAGCTGAAATGCTGCTGGACATCCATGCTGACGCCGCCCGCCTGCTGACCTGGGTAAGGGAGGGGTAAGGGAGCCCTCCGTGCTCCACCATGATTGGCTGTTAGGAGCGGCTGATGGTGAGGTGTAGGTGCCCGCAGGGGACTCCTAATGGCAAGTTCCCCCCACCTTCCCCCCTCAATTTCGCATGTTTTAAACTAGGCCTAAATTTGGGGGGAGGGGCTTAATTTCATTTTATGCCAAGAAAACATGCTGGGTCTTCCTATTGGGGGGGCGTATTGTTGGAGAAACACAGTAGTAAATGTGAAACATGGTCATAACTTACTTTTTTCAGAGTCATTATAACTTTGAATGGTCACTAAATGAACTGTTGTAAGTCAAGAACTATCTGTACTCTATTTAAACATTGTCTCTTTTCCCCATCCCCATTCTATTCTTTGGATTTACTCAACCTGTGTGAAATTAGACATATTTGCCCATCGCTGGCAATAACGTATAGCTGACCTCTTTTTTAATTCCATCCAACCACGATATCTACATCTTCTTAATCTATTCACTTTTTGTTTTACATATTAGGTTTGCAATTGTATCCCATTCATGCTCTGAACTGTATGACCAACCAAACAAGCATAGTTTTTGTACTGGTTAATCACTTCTTCATGACCCTTTCTATTTCTTCTTGTTTCAGCAAACACATTTTTTAAGTAACCCACCCCAGTGTTACTGGATACACATGTTAAATGTCTCACATCTATTTAACAAAGTGAACAGAAACAAAATCGTATACATTTTTGCCTTTGCCTTTTCTTTCTTCTTTTCTTGGCTTCCATGTCCATATTTTCTTAAGATCCACTCCTGATAAAATTGTGATCTGTCTCATGTTCAGACTCTCTCATCATTCCTGCACCCAGTACTAATACTTTGCCCAAAGGATGCTTATATTATTCTGTGCATTTTGGAATCTCTATTCAGGACTTTGCAAGCTCCATCCCATCAAATAGGAGGTATATGCAGTGTATAGACACACACTCAGGATGTGGCTACTTTTCCCTGTGAGGCAGACTGGTACTCAAACACTTTGATGATGGACTAAGTGTCGCTGTTTCAATGATCTATCAGTGTTTCATAGTATTCCTCACCCTTTCTCTATCCGCTTTTTGCTACATAGCTTAATCCTATGCATGTTTACTCAAAGTGTCACATTTATCCCAAAGCTCTTTAAGATTTCCTCCCCCTTTTAATATTAATAGATAATATAGATACAGATGTATATATATATTCTATCTACTATATATAATATAATCTAAGGTAATTTAGATTAAATTATATATAGTAGATAGAAAATAAACGATTTAGGCAAAAATATTTAGCCTGCCTTGTAACTACGTTCAGCAGATTTTATTTTGTTCAGGAGGCTTACTCACCAGCATGTATACAAAGTGTGTAGCAATTCACTTTCTTATTGTATACACCTTCCTTGCAGGCTAGAGTAAGTAACAGATCATTCTGAGTAACAGATCATTCTGACAACTGGTTGAATAATGTAGATCTATCCAATAAATATTAATTAAATAATAGGTTGCCCTAAATGGGTACAGGCGATCGCTATTTCTCAGTTTTTCTCGTTACGTCGTGACAACTGCCCTTCCTCGATTTCTTCTCAATTGGTTCATTCCGGACTGTATCGGGGACGGCCGAGACATTAACGTTAGCCGGCCACAATGTTCACGTTCAGATGTCACCCCTTTACCTTTCAGAAGTAGTGGTTTGGTCCATGACCTCTGCTCCAGCGGGGAACAGTAAATCCAAGAGCGGCCGCTCTTCGCACTGTCAACTTCCATCTCTCTTCAGTTCCTTGGCTAGGCGGCTGGTGTTGCGCGCGCGTGCGCACTCTTTCTCCCTTGCCCTGAAGTCTCGATCCATTCCCTGCACCCCCCCTCCGCCTCCCCCCCTCCGCCCCACGGCTTTAAGAGTTGTCTCGCCTTCTCCTCCCCTTTTCTCGACGGTTGAGGCGCGCGCCGCCAGGGGCAGAAGGGAGCCCGAGCGCGAGAGCGCGCTCTCCTGTTAGGAGAGGCTCCGATGCCGCTGTTGTGAGATGGCATCATTTTGTTGCGCTGGGGCGGCAGCGGCGCTAAAGGCGGCGGTGCCGACGGTCGGGAGCGGTGCCGAAGGTTGAGGAGAACCCAGCCGTCTGTCAGAGAAAAAAATAATAATAATAAGGGGGCGGCGGGGGCGGCACTACCTCGCAGCTGGGCTCCGAAGCCACGGTAAGACCGAGCGAGTGAGAGGAAAAGCAGCCATTCGGCCAGCTTTCACTCTTGACAAATAAACAGGCTGCGTAGCCGCCGCCGCTGCCGTAGTCTCGCCCCGGCTATTCCTCGGCGGGGGCCTGAGAGAGAAAGACAGGAGGCCGGGGTGAGGGGACAGGCACGTTATTGCTTCTTTTGAGAGTCGTGTTTGAGGAAGGAGCTCTTCGTGCCCCTCGGGGAGCCCTCTCGGTTTCGTGACGTCCCGGCTGAACAAATGGGAGAGGAGGGCGAGATCTGCCCTCCGCTTTTTTTTTTCTTTTTCTTTCCTGCCCGGCTTGTTCAAGGGAAACCCGGAGGGCAGAGGCTGATTGCCAGCCTTCTCTGTATAGATCCGACTCACTCCCTTGGCCTGGTGTCACCTTGTTTATTCGCATTTTTAGGTCTTTAACTGCCGGGAGGGGTGAGGGTAAGGCGGGCCGTGGGAGACGAGCCAGGTTGAGGGCTGAACCTTGAACCCCGTTAGCAGCGTTGATTGGCAGAGGCGTCGGGTGCCCTGGGAAGCATTTGGCCACACCAGGGTGACTTATTTCTGGATCCAAAGGACGGGGGCATATTGGATTCTGTCTTTATGTTTGTTTGCATTTATTTCTGGGAAGGAGGTGATGAGGAAAAACAGCGTCTCACTTTAGGATGACTTGCTTTAACTCTGCAGCGTTTCTTGTTCTCGATTGCTCCGTGCAACCCCCCCCCCTCCTTTGCCCAAAATGCTGCATACAGTAATAACTGCTTTTCTCCAAGTTGTAGAGCATGTTGCTGCTAGAAGGCTGAAGGCCTGGAAGGGTTGATTGTATCTTACCAAAATATTCCCCATCTCCACACACATTTGAACCAATATTTTTGTAGCTGGCTAGATAATGCAAGATGCCGATTTGAGTAAGTCCTTGAGTTGCTTTCAATTAAAAGTGCATGTGATGTAGCAATAATTGAAATGCTGGAAAAAAGTGTTATGTAATAAGTTTAATAGCATTCTTCTGACACCTGAATAATGAAGTTTTGATACTAAAATCTTCCTGCAACCAACTTGGCTCCGACCCACAAAGAATTCTGTGCTATATGTGATCGATTTACTATTCTTTAGCAGAAACTTAACTAAGTGAAGTTACCATACTGGGAGCAAAACCAAGTACTGTTAGCAGGATTTATTTCCATTTTAATGTATAAAAGCTAGTGGCAAGCTTTCCTTCAAAAAAGAAAGAAAAATATGTATTTTAAAAGGTACAGATGTATTCAAGTCAAGCTCAGCTAGTAGTGATTATATGACTATATCTGTTAGGCTTTCTTGGCAATAGTACATAAGTAGTTTGTTTTTGCCACTTCTGGGATTTTTTAAAAAAACTTCCCTGTCTAAGGCTTCTCGTAAAATTAGATTTATAATTTAATATTATCTGAGACAAGAAAGCCTTGCCTTAAGTATATATGTCTTGTTAGCATCCATGTTAATGTGTTACAGTGCATCATGGTGTATTACTTATAAACATCAACTGCATAATAGAGTGACTAATTGCAGTTTGGTATCTATCTTTATAACTATAATAATGACAAAGATTAGTCTCACTGAGCTACATGGGGCATACTATCAAGTTAATTGTATTATATGCTTTGGAAAGAAAAAATATTATTGGCAGTATTAAAATAGCATTACTGATTTTTGTTTTCTGAGCATAATTCAAAACTAGTAGAGAATAAGATAGATTTTAATGGATGTGGGAAATTAGAAAAGTTGCTTCTCTATGATTAGGTAATAATTCTGCAGAACTGTGAAATTATTGCTAATGAGACAAAATGAAACAAGTGGGATTTGAATGTACTTGCTTGTTCTGTTCAAATGTTGGTACTTTTGATGGCCTTTTCAAATTGTAGATCTAAATATGAATAAACACAAACACAAATATTTGAATATTTAAGCAGCATCATTTCTTGTGCAATTCTTTGTTATTCAAAGGATCTTAATACTATACTTGAACAAAGTCTCATGAAGGTCAGGTTCAGATATTGTACTAAGCTACACCAACCTATAAATCATGTTGTTTTAAAAGAACTATTGTAGCCTAGTTCAGATTTGAATCAAGTTTGCAATATAAAAGAATACAGTAGTACAAAAAGGATGAAGAAAGTACAGATACCAGTTTTTAAATTTAAACAATGTTTTTATAAAGAATGATTCAAGTTATTTAGGAGAGTCAGAGAAAAACCAAAATGCAGCAGATTCAGTGGAATAACGATACTTATTTACTTCAAATATTTATGTTCCATTTTTCAGCTGATAAAGCTTCCAGAGCAAGTTTCATATCCTTAAAATAAGTCATTATTGTGCTACAGTGTTGTGGAATGTTTGTTGCTTACACTATTCACTATTCGCAAGGAAGAATGAAAGGCTGTCCTTCATCAGAGTAGATGTAATCAGCTTTTATCCCTCTATTGACATCAAAAAGAGTAAAGTTTTCACCACAATAATAGAGCTTTCTTGCAATAGCTTAGTCTAGTTGGGAAAGGGGGAGCACTGATCATAATCTATAGCTAAGGCAGCATTAATGCCTACTACTCCATGCTTCTTTGAGATTTAGGTAATTCTCTTCAAATTAGAAATCCAAAAGAAGAGTAGAATTTTATTGTCCATTAATTTAACTTGTTTTAAAAGCCATCAGAAGCCAAGACATATATTGGAGCTCAAAGAGGAAAAAAAAAGGATAGTGGAGATGGACATGACTTTGTACGGAGATGAGTAAATTTAAACATGGTAAATATAATGAATCAAAAATGGGTAGAGATAGGGATTAGGTGGGTTGAATGGTGGTTTTAATTATTTTTGTCAGTGAAAATGATAGGTGGGAGAAAAATATGAGGAAAAGTGAAACGTTTAAGAGCTCAAAGTAGGGTTTGATCAAAATAATTTGTTTTTTAATTAAATTCTTTAACTCTTAGTTAAAAGAGTTAATTATTTCTTAACTATTTCATCTTTACAAGTCTTTTATCCATTCTTTTTTCAAAAACTCAATTTATGTTAATCAATTCAGCTAACTTTCTGGTAAGTTGCTCAAATATTTTCTGAAGCAAATCTGATGTAATTCCACTCTATATAGCTTGTTCTAGCAGTATTCTCCATTTTTGCCACATTTTTGGTGGTTGGGTTGCCATTATGAAATTATCCAAAAATGTAAGTGTATCAAACAAGGGAGATAGAAAAGACAAGCTATGTCCCCTTTTAATTTTTGTCTTCATCTGTCCTTAATATTTTAGTCTCAAGTGGCAATTCCCCAGTTGTCTGCCCTCTTTAATAGAAAATAAAAACCATTCCTGTGATTGGTTTTTTATTTGTCTGTTTAATTCCAATTTGTTCAAAAGCATTTTCACCCTAAAATAATCTTTTGAAATGTTTCTTTATCTTTTTAAAGTTTCTTATATCAACTCCTTGTTAAGTTTTTTCTGCCAAAAATGTTTAAATCTTTAAAACCTTTTTTCTTTATTCCTTTGTAATCCAGAGAACACAATAAATCACTCATCAAATGGAATTTTTGTCCTGCCACTCAGAACATCTCTCTTTAGCTGTAAATTATTTACATCCAAAAATGATTAAATAATGAGGCTTATATGAACTTTTATGTTCATATAAACTGCATTGTGGTTGTGAGTTTGATTGAAGTCACTTGACTTTAACTGTTAACTCATAATGCAACTACAAAAACCTCAGTTCCTCCAATTTACTTGCAAGGAGCAGCTATCCAGAGTACAAGTAGGCAATCTCATAATCTTTCCTCTTTACTGTCTGGCTACTGATCTGGTCGCAATGCCATCCCGGTCCTTCAAGGACATCTATTTTGCCTTGAATCCTCACCAGAAACTTGACAGATGGTAATTGTTTAAGAAGATCAAACAAAGATGGAACTTACTGAAATTTTGTGCAATAAAGATGTCAATGTCCAAGATAACTTAGAAGGTGATCATTTCTTACCAGAATTGCTAATACTAGAAGATGAAGGCCCAGGAGATGAGATGAGATAGCAAGAGCCAATCAAGTTCAACCCACTATTAGCTTACACCTATTTGACAGAATAGCCTTCTTACCTATTCACTATATCCTGAGAGCTTCTAGGATGTGACTACCCTGAACCTCTTCCCTCCTCACAGTCTCTTAATCTGGACCACTTTCTGGGAAAGCTCTGTGTTGGTAAAAGTTTCTCCCATTGTTTTTGCAGGAGCACATTCCATCACATGAAGTTAGATCAGCAGTCTGGTAGTTACTGGGTTAGAATATTGTAGGAAGTGATGGAATACCTGTAGAAATAGTACAAACAATAGAAGTATCTATACAGATTCTAATAAACTTTTCCAGCAAATCTGGATACGATGGCTAAAAGATTGTAAGAGTTCAGTCTATGCACCAATATCAAAGATAGAAAACTTAACAGAGTATGTTAACTACAGTACATGCAGGCCATGGGTTAGGCTGGCATTGCCATCACTGAGCAATGCAGACAAAATATTATGGCACATATCTGTATCACTTAGGATGTGTGTGTGTGTGTGTGTGTGTGTGCTTGCTTGCTTGCAGACTCACCCCAAGCTGGCCAATGAAAGAGACCAGTCCTGGAGTGGGCTACATTGAATGTGAATGGGACTGGAGATGAGGGAGAGTTCCTTCTGGTGCTGAGATCTAACACTGAAGTGCCCAGGAACTTTCTCCTAAATGTGCTGTGAGAGCCCAGGATGGGTTAGACTCCTCCTGATGACTTCATCAAGCTGAGTCCTGTATAAAAGGGACTCCTGTGGGAGTTTCCCCCAGTTTTGACTCAGCTTCTTTAGATGACAATTGAGCTGGTGTCTCTGAAAGCAGTTTTAGTCAGCAGCAAAAGTCAAACAGCAATCTTAGATCATTGGCACAGCTCCCGGGGACCCGGTGTAGCTGTGCCTTCTGGAGAATGGGGCTCCGCTCTCCTGCAACGCTGAGGATTCGACGTTTT